GAGAAGGGAGGAGAAGGGATTGCGGCGTGGCCATCCCCCCTGGGGGGTGATTTCTCGCTTTCTGTCTCTCTGTCTCTCTCTGTCTCTCTGGCGAGCCTTGGCAGTTGGCAGAGAGCTGTCATTCCTATTCCCACCGCTCCTTGAACTCATCAGACTGGATCTGCGGCTGGGAAGAACAACTTCTTTCGCAATCCTGGGCCTTCTCCCTGCTGGAGGGAGAAGAAAATAAGGAGCTGCCCCTGGGCCCCACTCCTGCACCCACCTCACCTCCCGGGGCAGGGCTCTGTCAGTTCCCGGTAGGTGGCCCACTTCCTGTTGCTGGCTCTCGCTCATTAATTCAGAACCAAGCTGAGTAGAGGGTGAGAGGGGCGTGGAGCCTGGCAGGGAGCCTCTCCTGGAGGGCTTACTTGGGAAGAGCCCTGAGTGAAGTGGGGGTTTTCCTGATGGAAGGAATTGCATGTAGAGAGGTCCCAAAGCAGGCCCTGGGGGCCCAGTAAATCCTTCCACTCTGGGCCCCACCCAGGGTGTGCATTACTATCAGGGCCATCCATGGATGTCACAGAATCCTGAGACAGCGCATCTCAGCGCCCTGGGGAAGCGCACACCCAGGGGAGCCAGCAGTACAGTCCCCAAGCTGGTGCAGGCTGCTCTCTGCCTCCACCTGCCCCTCTTCTAGCCAGGACAGCTCCGATTCCTTGCCAGGGCCCCAAGATTAACTGTGCATGCACAGACCGGACCCTGGGGCCTCTTGTGCCCCCTCCCTGAGGCCAGCACCCCACCCCCTCTCCCGTGTCAGCTGCTGCTTCCCACTGGGCCTCATAGCCAGACTGGGCTCCACTGCTCAGTAAGGTACTGCAGGCTGGCGGGCCCCCAGAGATGGGTGGGGGCTGCCCCATGGAGCGTGAGAAACACGCCACCTCCTGTCCCTAGACTCGCCTGCACGCTCATGCCAGAAGACTGACCAGCCTCATGGGAACCTCAGGTCACATGGCCAGGTGGGTACCCGGGGGCTCGCACCTCACAGGAGCACCGAGAGGATGAAGGGAACACACACACACAGGTGAAAACTTTCATTGTGTCGATGCTAGTAATGGCTGGGGCTTTACCCTCGGAGACTTGCAGAAGTTGCATCTTCGAGTCCCAGCCAGGTCTCCTAGAAGAGGCAGTCGGAGTCCACTTTTCATAAGAGCCACCGGCTTCTCCTAGAGTGGTGGCCCAGGGCATGGCCGTCCCCCAAGGTTACAGAGGCTCTGAGGGTCAGGCAGGTCAACGACCTTTTCCCACCAAAGCCCTCCACAAACACGGACTGGTGTGAGCAGCCTGCCTTTGTCGGTCCCAGGATTTGGAAAGGCCATGGGGACAAGCAGTATCCCACAGGAATAACGTGGCCACACTGTAACTGTAAACGTCCTTCAAAATGAGTGAAATGGCTTTTGATAATGCATTTTATTTAGAATATCCATAATATCACTTCAACGTATAATAAACATTACTAATGAGGTATTCTGTGCTTTTTGTTCCTACTCAGTCTCTGAAATAAGGAGTGCGTTTGACCTGACAGCCTGTCTCGGCTGGGTCTGCTCACATTTCGGGGGGCTGCCTGTCTCCTGCAGGACACATACACCCCACCATTGACAGCGCCCTCATCCTCACCCCTGCAGCCCAGTCTCTTTCACCCAATCTGGCTTCCAGATAGAGGGTTGCAAAATGACCGCTCATCTCCTGTGAAGCAGGACTTTCTGGGCTCTCCTGGCCCATCCCGGAAATGCCAGCCTCGCAGAGCAGAAGACTGTGGAGGAAAAGTCTCTATTCCAACCTAAGGATGCAGCTCAGAAGAAAAACCTCTTACAGCTGATTGATAATAAATCTTCTAAATCTTGATTAAGTCTGACAATCCTGATTTGTAACTGGTGGTCAATTAGTTATGGTATAAAATACCTGTAATATCTATTAAGAAACAAAATAAGGCGATACGTGAAACTCAGACGTCTATCCTGGGTCTATGGTGAATATAAACGTTTCTATGAGCATATCTTACTTTGTATCTTACCTCTTAGTACCTGGCTTTGTTTGTTTTTTGTTACTAGTTACATGGACAGTGCTTGTAACTGCTCGATTGTTGAAAGGTGGTAAAAGCAAGTATTCAACAATTAAGGGTTTTCACCAGTTCACACAGAATTCCCACCTTCCGTTCTTCCAAGCACTGTTCTCACACTTTGTCCACAGTACCAACCCAGCAGCTCGCCGCTTCCCGGCGTGTGCTCCAACAGGACAGTGCCAGGGAGGACAGGGAAACTGTGCTTTTTGTCACAGTAGTTGTTTTTCTTTTCTTGCAGGTCTCTCCCTCAGGCATAGACGGACTCTTCCAGCATGGGGTGAGGTACAGAGACCTGACAGGCCAGCCCTGGCACTGGGACATCGGGCTTGCACCCTGGCCCAGGTCCGTATGACAGCGGTGGCGTGGCTGTGTGTCCTTTCTGTGCATGTTTGTGTCTGCGTGTTCCTCTCACTGGGCTTGGGCATGTGCCCTGGGAGGCAGTGGCCTGGAGAGGGGCGGTGGTAAAAATGTGGCCTGAGGTGCGTGAGGGCAGACTTCCTTCCCAGGGTGTCAACAGCCAAGCTCCCGTCTACCCAGGACTGCCTGTTCTCCAGGCCTGCTGCAGTCCGCCCCTCCTGCCCTCCCACGGGTTCAAGGTCACGCCCTCCGTATTTCTGGGATTCCCGCGGCTTTATTTCATCATTCTCTGAGAAGCGAACCCAAGGGTGGGATTGCCTGAGACGCACAAGAACCGGCGTCGACGCTCCCCTCTCCAACCTTAGGGAGGCGTCGCAGGTGGTGGGGACTCACAGCGACCTTCTCCCCGCAGGGCTGCGCGCGGGGCGGACCTGGCGCTCCGACTCTGCAGCAGCGGAGGTGCCTGTGGGTAGGAGAAGGAATCCTGGAATCCTCAAACCAGATCTGGAGGCCTCTCCCTCTTCCCTCGGCCACGGTTTTCTTTCCAAGCCTTAAGCAAAGGGAATCGCCCACAGCAACAGAAGGCAGACCCTAGTGAGGGGCGCGCCTCCCTGCTGCGGCGCGGCCCTCGCCATGTGCGCGGCCTCGGGGGCAGCGGCGGGCCGACCTTACGCGTGCAGCGAGTGCGGTCAGAGCTTCGGCTACAGCGCGGTTCTGCGGCGCCACGAGCGGGCCCACGACGGCGCCCGGCGCTTCCGCTGCCTGGAGGGCGGCGAGCGCCGCGCGCGGGGCCCC